AAAAGATGGACTACAGCGCTTACTCGTGATTTAGCTTGATGCCGTGTGTCATGTTCCTTGCCTTCTCAAGCTGTGGGTCTTTGACCATAGCATGGAAAATCCGATGATCTCCCACTTTTGTATTATTCCATTTATCGAAAATTAATGTTTTTTCGGGCGTTGGTGGCTGTAAATACAATATATTTTTAATTGACTTTTACTCTTTCTGAGGGATTTAAACACTGCTTTACAGACGATTTACAATCCATTACGGGAACACGATTCTATAATGACATGAGAATATGAGACAGCAACATTGATCACCTCGCGACAGTACGGCTCTAAGATAGGGGGCTCTCCAATAATGTGTTTGGGTGGGCTTGCCATTGTGGTGTGTGCAGTTATAGTAACTAAGGCCTCTTCCTGTTTGTAATAGTGGCAAGTGGTTTACAATTTTACATTAGTAAGTATAAACAAATAGTTGTTATATTAGTTGTAGTTATATTGGTCATTAAGTTTGTTAGAGAATTCAAAAATAGACAGATAACGAATTTAAACAGGCATTTTATTTCAATAAAACTAACAGAACTTTTGGGTATCCATTTAATTTTCAGATTTATCTATCGTCCCAATACTGAGAACCGAAAATACAATTGGGTTTGCTATAGAAACATTATGCACTATATCTGTATTCTGCTTAAGAAGCGTTACTTATTTGAATAATTACCAACGATGATTGGCTAAAAGATATTTATGAGCACCTTCGTTGAAGATGCAAGAATATGAGGAAAGTACGCCCGTGAAATTATTCAACAAATGATAGCCTTTTTTCTAGGCTACTATTTGTCTTTTAAAAGATGGTACCATCCTCACTTTTCGCCGTTAAAGTGGTAATATAAGTGTTTGCGGCTAGTTATGGCATTCCTGAGGAACTTCGCACATTCATAATATGCTTTTCATCGCAACTTATGCTTGGGTCCCACGCCTGTGTAACAGTCTAACTGTGGATAAGCTACGAATTTTCGTTTTTTTGCTTAATAATGATCCAAATAATCATATTGCAGAGAGGCTCCAGTTCGAGTTCTATAGAAATGCAAAGATCTTTGTGATTACCTTTTGGGAACCATCCTCGGTTATTCCGTTCTAAATAACCTACTCTCCGGACACCTTAATGTTGAGCAACCTCTGCGCTGCATCGGCCAATTCGTTTTCGCAAGTCAAGCCACGCGACATTGCATAGGCTGGAAAGGGTTGAAACTCCGCTGCTGGAAGAAGCAAGGGTTTCATGGATTGCTCCTCAAAGTTGAGGAGGTGCTCAAAATGCTCAAAGCAGCAATCGGTTTTGGCTAAGTTGTGGGCACTAAAGCCGCCACTCTCATCGCGAATAGAATCACAAAGCTTCGAGGAATTAAACCTAGCTTGGTGGAGAATTTAGCAAAATTTTCGCGTGTCACTAATATTTAAAGCCTGCTACATAATAGTTGCTGTTTCTGACTAAGATTTCTGCCCGAAATCCCCAGCGGTAGGCAACATCGTTGCGGAATCCGGCTCAAGCGATCTGGGCAGATAGCTACAGG